ATCTATCTATCTATCTATCTATCTATCTATCTATCTATCTATCTATCTATCTATCTATCTATACATACATACATACGTGTAATTTTTCCCCTCCCACTACCCTAATACTGACAAAGGGCTCATGAGTTACAATTATCATCTTTCCATGCAGGAATGTAAATAGTTCAACCTTAACAAGTCCCTTATGATTTCTCTTTCCTGTTTGCCTCTTCATGTTTCTCTTGAGTCTCATATTTGAAAGTCAAATTTTCTTTTCAGCTCTGGTTTTCTCATCAAGAAAGCTTGAAAGTCCTCTATTTCACTGAATATCTATTTTTTCCCCTGAAGGATTATATTCAGTTTTGCTGGGTAGGTGATTCTTGGCTGTAATCCTATCTTCTTTGCCCTCTGGAATATTGTATTCCACGCCCTGTAGTTCCTTAATGTAGAAGCTGCTAAATCTTGTGTTATCGTGATTGTGTTTCCACAATACTTGAATTGTTTCCTTCTGGCTGCTTGCAATATTTTCTCCTTGACCTGGGAACTCTGGAATTTGGTTACAATGTTCCTAGGAGTTTTCCTTTGGGGATCTCTTTCAGGAGATTCTTTCAATTTCTATTTTGCCCTCTGGTTCTAAACTATCAGGGCAGTTTTCCTTGATAATTTCTTGAAAGATGGTGTCTAGGCTCTTTTTTTGATCAGGGCTTTCGGATAGTCCAATAATTTTTAAATTGTCTCTCCTGGATCTATTTTCCAGGTCAGTTGTTTTTCCAATGAGGTATTTCACATTGTCTTCTATTTTTTCATTCTTTTGGTTTTGTTTTACAATGTCTTGATTTCCCATAAAGTCATTAGCTTCCAATTGCTTTATTCTAACTTTTAAGGAAATATTTTCTTCAGTGAGCTTTTGGACTTCCTTTTCCATTTGGTCAATTCTGCTTTTTAAGACATTCTTCTCCTCATTGGCTTTTTGGACCTTTTTTGCCATTTAGGTTAGGCTATTTTTTTTTAGGCAATCAGGGTCAAGTGATTTGCCCAGGGTCACATAGCTAGTAAGTGTCGAGTGTTTGGTCTGAGGCCAGATTTGAACTCAGGTCCTCCTGACTTCAGGGCTGGTGCTCTATCCACTGCACCATCTAGCTGCCTCTAGGCTATTTTTTAAGGTGTTATTTTCTTCAGTATTTTTTTGGGTCTCCTTTAGCAAGCTGTTGACTAGTTTTTCATGATTTTCTTGCATCACTCTCATTTCTCTTCCAGTTTTTCCTCTATTAGACTCATGTGAAAATAAGTTTAATGTGAATGTATATATAGTCTATCTCAGATTGTACTCTGTCTTGGGGTGAGGGGAGGGAGGGAGGGGGAGAAAATTTGAAACTCAAAATCTTATGGAAGT